TTATTGACTTCCATAGAGTCCTCTGTTCTCCTATTCTTTCTAATACCTCTTCATTTCTAACCTTCTCTATCCACGGTATCCTCATCATTCGCCTGTAACACCACGTTTCGAACGCTTCTAACCTTTTCTTTTCCGCCGCGCCCACTGTCCATGTTTCGCATCCGTACAGCGCCATGCTCCAAGTATACACCTTTAACAATCTTTTTAGAATTTCTAAATTATTCTTTCGCTAGCATAGAAATGACTTCTTTTGATTGAAGGCGACTCGACCCTGCGCTATCCTTTGCCTTATATCCCTACTACTTCTTCCGTCCTGACTTATCTGACTTCCTAGATACCACTTCTAGTTTTTCGTCTCATCCATACATTCGCTCTATCCCTACTTTTTCTTCCTTTGCATACCAGTATTTTTGTTTTACTTTCATGCAATACTGTTTTGTAGAGATGCTAATACTGCTATATCATCTGGAAATCTAAGCATACTAATCCTTTGTCCCTCTATATCTATCCCTACAGTTGTACTGTCTTGACGTTAATCGCGTCTTCGATGTATAGATTAGAAAGTAGCGATGACAATGTGCATCCCTATCTAACTCCCTTCCTAATATTTACTTCTCTACGTTGCAGCTCCAGCTCCATAACTGCCTATTTCTCTTCTTCTTATAAATATTAACTATCAATTTTATTTGTAGCAATAAACGAATGCTACACGAATAGAACACTAATCATTCTACACATGTTTTGCATAACCAATTGCTAAATTAATCCAATTCAAAGACAACGAGTATCCTATATATAAAATTATATTACTAGACAGTGTATGTGGGAGCACATATGTATATGCATGTATTAATCAGCAAACACTTGAACGTTTTCACAGTAATTGAAAATCGATATATGCAAAGTTCACATTTTTTCATTTTGACGGATATTTTGCGGCTCTGTTTTCGCCTTAATCAACATGACCGTTATGTCAAGTACGTCTACAATACTTAATTAATATTCACCCTCATTTGCCTAATTTATTTTCACTCCTATTCAATTTTCTTCTTACAGGGGTCGACTATATGCATCCCGATTTGAGATTTAATTACGTAAGTATTAATAGCTTCATTAACTATTACATGCGTATTTAAACAACAGTAAACAAAAATATAAGTATTTAGAACAGTACGCTTCTAATACAATAAGAAAAATAAAATCACAAAAAGGAGCTCTTGCATTAGATCCAATTAGAGTTCACCTTTTTTATTCACATACGAAAAAATAAGAAAGTTGTAAAAGTGAATTGGGAGTTAAAAGGTCTTATGGAGAAACAATATTAATTTCTGCGAGCGAAGCCGCGGGGAAAAGCTATCGTAGTATTTAAATAAACCAATTTAACAACCTTTTCATACGTATACCTGTATATGCATACAAAGGATAACTTGTGAATAGGTATACTACGTTTTAAAACTTTTTAGATTGAGTAGGAAATAGGTTAAAGTTTTGCGTACAGCGTAATGTGAATGTAATTTATGTAAATGCTACACACACGCGTAGGTATAACTACACAACACACGCACAAAAATATATCCTCCCACTGAGCTTAAAAGCCCACGCTCGATTGTTAGATTAATGTATTTATTCAAAATTCGATATTGTAAGTGTCGGCCGTTTTCTCTTGTTTGTGGGCAGCGACAGTAAATAGAAAAACCAACAGAAAATCCCAAGGAACTTTTTCAAGAGCATAATAAAAGCAAAATTAACCTTATAAATATAATATTGTTGACTTATATTTAAAAAGTTTGCAAACGGGAAAAGAAAATTAATTTGGATACTGTCAATAAAAGCAAAGCATTTTCGTATTTTATCGGTTTTCATATCATGCTGTCATTATAAGATGTTTCCTTTGTATTCGTTTAATATTTTTCTTTGGAAAATACGGCTCTTAATCTTCTTAGTCTTTGATCCTTAAGATATAATTATTCGGCACGTATTTGCTTTTAATATTAAATTGTAGCATTTCCAAAATGCATGACGTCACTAGTCGCCAGTAAAAATAAGAGCAAGTCAACGTTGAGATTGATCACAAGCATCCAGTGTAAAGTGATAATAATTGAATCAGCATGTGAGATGAAAGTAGGAAAAGGGTACTTTTAAACACTTTTCTGTACCACGATAAAAATAATTCGAGTCAAAACATACATTTCTCATCACAATAGTTTATAGCAAACTATTCTTTTTTCGATGAATTGACTTCTATACACTTCAATAAGTATTAATACTTTGCTTCTAATAATTAGTATTTGTAATATACCCATACAAAAGCACACAAATTACATAATATTGTTTTGAACGATTTTCCTAATTCTTCTTAATTAAACATTTTGTTGTATCTTGCCGGTTCTTGCAATCATATTAATGTTCAAGCTAAGTTTTCTAAACACATTGAGAGGTGTTGAAAAAGTCAAGTCCTTATAGGGTTCTCTACCTCAGATAGAAGGAACAGTAAGTATCATTAAATACAGACCACTTCGAATTAAATTATTTTATTCGATTAAGCTAACGTGCCTATCACGTTGAGGTTGGCTACGCCAGGATTCGTTTTCAGCAAGTAGATATCCACACAAGTGGACCTTGTTGAAAAATACGTAATCCTAAAATGTAGCATCGTGCTACAGATGGCGTTCACTGTGCCGTTTGTAGTATTTTCTGAAACGCACTGTTAAGACAGCAGGTAAAAGTTGGTCTGTGTTCTGTC